CCCATTCATGCCGTCTCCAGCCATTAATAGGCTCTTTGTTCACCCAAGGGCTCGAATCCAGAATTTTGACAATATGAGCCCTCAAGCATACCCTTGAGACACTGGTGGAAACGCCTGGTTAATTTGTGGAACATTCCAATAGTTGGTTTCGAAAGTAACTTCTAACATATTACTTTCACAGAGCCCCCCAGTGGCACAGCGGTATGTCCGCAGACTTACAACGCTAGAAACCCGGTTTCGATACCCGTGGTGTGCAGAGCACAGATAGCTCATTTGTAGCTTTTTTGTTTGTTTCTTCTCACAAAACCTAAAAAAAAAACGAACACAGAAGACGACGGATATTTTCACCCATGTATGTGTTTGTTTGTGAGTGTGTGTATTTGTCAGCAGGATTTCTCGAAAACAGGTCAGTAAATTTGGAACAAAGTCGGTATACATTTGTACTATGACCCAACTTAGAAGTGATTAGTTTTTGGAGGGTCAAGGTCAATAGAAACCAAAAAAGAAAGCCCTGTCTGTTACCATGGGGACCGATTTTTCACACTATTTGTGCTCTATAACTCAGTAAAAATGATCAGATTTTGATGAAACCTGGTGGACATGTGTAGAAGATTATTCCTCATTGTTCTGCCAACAATGGTCCGTGTCAGTTGATAACTTCGGATATACGGACACATTTTCGTATTTTTTGACGGCCCGAATATGATCAACGCTAGGTGGCTGAGGTATGCGCTCTAATGAGTGTCCCTCTAGAGTTAATGATGTTTTACATCTTTTATACTATGATTGTTAATTCGGTATTACATAAAACATAAATTATTATTTTCATAGGCACTGCCAGTGAGAAGGCGGGATATCAGGGGTAAATAACCCACAAAACAGCTTGTTATTGAAAAAAATATAAAGGTTTTTTTTAAATTCTGTTCTGCCAATAATATGAGCGTGTTTTCAGTAAAGAAAAATAGTCAGTATCCAGGATAAATTCATTATTTCCTCAACGTTTCACCTTGCGGCATTTTCAAGAACTTTTAATAACTCCTACTTCATTTCGTTTGCATAGCTACATTTACTGTTTACCTAGGCATAGTTATTAGATATGATTTTTTTTTACATTGTTGATCTTTTGTTTTCGCTTTTAAATAAATATTTTCTTCGCCGTTTTTAGATTATTGTCATGCGTTTACTATTGTTACCTTGCCATTGTTGATAAAGAGGCCGCATGTTATTATTTAATAACATTATTATTATTAGGAACACATTGTTATTATCATTTTAATTCAATTAGCCGGTTGTCTGCCTCTTGATAAAGCCTTAAGTTGAAACTGTGAAGAAATAAATATGTGCCACTGGATACTGGCTGCTCTTCTCTTCATTAAATGTGTTTACACTCCAGCGTGTACTAAATTAGCTAAATAACAAGAGTAGTAATTTATAAGGTTTTGTCGGCATCAAATTTTGTTTTACAAAACGAACTCGAATACAAAACTATATGTACAGAATGGTCTGTCATACAGTGATGTCTCGGTGTTAATATTCTTCTAATTGAATCTAAATGCCCTAACAAACGTGTTATCGTTCACTGAGTGTATGGAATGTTTAACAAGTTTTCATCATTTAAACGGTCTATGGGATACTTACTAACATGTTATGTTTCAGTTAATGTATTGAATGCCTAAAAGCATGTTATTTTACAATGAGGGTATGGTATGCCTAAAAAACACACATGGAACACTGAAAGACCATACTATCGTATCTTTATAGGTGTGATAATATTTGGGTCTGATCAAGAAGTTGCTGGAGTCATGAGAGCGGTTAAAAGAAATAATGCTACAGGATACTTTTCTTGGATTGGTAGCGATGGCTGGAGCGCACGATCCCTCGTCTTCGATGGTAATGAACCTCAAGTAGAGGGAACCTTATCTGTCCAACCTCGTGCCCATCTTGTGCAAGGCTTTGATAAATACTTCATGGGTTTGAACGTGAAGAATAACAAGAGGAATCCCTGGTTTATAGAGTATTGGGAACAGTACTTCAACTGTAAGTGGCCTAAGAGCATGACGACGCCGTACAATCAGAATTACGACAGGTACTGCACTGGGGATGAAAAGATGACGTACGAGAACGGATACGAACCTGAAAGACAACTCCAATTTGTCAGTGACGCTGTTCTAGCTTTCGCCTACGCATTTCGTGACATGCACCGAGACCTATGTGGCGGGAAAGAAGGCATGTGCCGAAGAATGGATCCCATCGATGGTACAGAGCTCTTAAAGTATCTGTACAAAGTTCATTTTACAGGTAAAAACCATTCGATAAACAATGTTAAGCACCATCTTTCGTAATATTAAAATTACTTCGGATAAACATGCATTTCTATGTTTTTAACTGAACTAGACACAAAATGAAATTTTGCCTTCGTAACGATTTTCTTGGGTGTTAAGAATACTGTACTTTTAATAAAACACCTTATATTCAAATGGCTTATAATTATTGCTACTTTCTTATCTGCTTTCTCACTCATCTTTTTTTTCTTCTTTTTTTGTATTTCTAATGGTATGCAGCTATGTCTCGGAGCTCATCCACCAGTTTTACAAATGTCTCTCGCGAGTTCAAATCCCGGCACCTAACATGCTCGTCCTTTCAGCAGTGGGTGCGTTATAATGTGATGGTCAATCCCACTTTTCGATCGTTAAGAAAAGTAGCCCCAAAGTTGGCGATAGGTGGTGTTAACTATCTGCCTTCCCTTTAGTCTATCACTTGAAAATTAGGGACGGCTAGCTCAGATAACTCTTGTGTAACTTTGCGCGAAATTAATAAACAAACAATCACCAGTGTTTTTATTCTAAAGTTATTTAAGTATCTTTGTTTATAATTACCTTGGTTAACATACTTTCGGATTACAGTTAGCCTGGTTGCTATTATCCCACATTACGATTACCCCTGACTGGTGCTCTACCAAATTACTATTATCCCATGTTACGATTACCCCTGGCTGGTGCTCTACCAAATTACTATTATCCCATGTTACGATTACTCCTGGCTGGTGCTCTACCAAATTACTATTATCCCATGTTACGATTACTCCTGGCTGATGCTCTACCAAATTACTATTATCCCATGTTACGATTACACCTGGTTGGTGCTCTACCAAATTACTATTATCCCATGTTATGATTACACCTGGCTGGTGCTCTACCAAATTACTATTATCTCATGTTACGATTACCCCTGGCTGGTGCTCTACCAAATTACTATTATCCCATGTTACGATTACACCTGGTTGATGCTCTACCAAATTACTATTATCCCATGTTACGATTACACCTGGTTGGTGCTCTACCAAATTACTATCATCCCATATTATAATTATCCCTGTTTGGTACTCTACTGAATTACAATTATCCTGATAACTATTATTCCGTATTATGTTTACCCCTGGTTATTATCCTACCAAGTTATAATTACCGCTAGTTAATACTCTATAGAATTATAATGCCCTGCTTGTTAAAATAACGGTTTTCGACTACCAATGGTTGATATATATATATATATATAAATCAATTAAAGCAGCTCCCTGATTATTATTCTATTAGATTATGATTACCTTTAAGTGCCGTCTTCGTGTAGGCCCCCGGGCTTAAGGGCTTATAACGCTAAAATTCGGAGTTTGATCCCCGATAAAACACGGTCTATATCTTTGTGCTTATTTAACAACAAACGAATAGTTCATCCTCGCATGATGTATTTATTTTTTCAAACAAATCATGTCACTCGTCCATTGCGTGCATTTATCGTAAACACATAAAAAATCATACGATAAATAAAATAAATCGTTGGTCTGCCTTGAAAAACCTCACTACCACCGACGAATGAATCATGTTAATGGTTATTGTACATCTACTCACGACATTTTGTCAATGAAAGACAGCAGCAGACAAAATCAGAAACCGGGGTATCCAAAGTATCAACAAGAAATAGAGTTTAGTCCTACCCCCAGGGTCCCGTTGGCTGAGCGGGCTTATAATGTTGACAATCGGGTTTCGATACCCCCGGTGGACACAGAACAGAGAGTCAATTGTGTAGCTTTGCGCTTGACATCAAACAAAAACTGTCGTTAGAAACGAAAGACAGTTAAAATACGATGAAGAATTTATTTAATTCTGGGGTGTAACAGAAGCGCTGGCGTTACATTTCGTGTAAAGGGACTGTTGACTAGTTCTATGCTGTAACGCAGCTCGAATAACTAGGTTGTCATGATATAAAAGACTGATTAGTTTAGGCATTAGTGATTAATTTGTTTTATTTACTGAATATTTTATTATTGTTTAGTTTTTGTTATAATAAGAGTTAAAAGCAAACGATTGTAGGAAGTTTTGTTAATAATTCAATGATATTGAGACTATCGAACGTCACGTGCAAAACACTGACGTCGAGAATACAGAAGGTGGGCAGACGATTAAGTGATAAAAATATAAATAGTGTGAGAAGAGCGGAAGCAGCAGATAAATAATAGCAAAAGTGACTAAAGTTACAAGCAAGGAAAGTTCGGCGTGAAGTTAACTAACGTACAAGTGATAGGCCTAACGTTTAATATGTTAAGAGTAAGACTAACGGTAGAAAAGGAGATAAGAAAAATAATTTATTCCGTCAAAGCGTGGTTCTAAAGTAATTGAATCAGGCTGAGTGCATTTTGACAAAAGGAACAGAGGATATTCAGAAGAACGAAGTTGGTAACGATTACGGTAACTCGCACCACAATTGCAAGTGAATCACACGCAGAATACTAGTACAATAGTATTAGAGAAGATAGTTCAACTTGTCAACTTAAATTCTAAAGGAACTGAATAGGCCTAAGTGGACTTTTGACAAGAATAGAACTATATATAAATAGTGTTTATGATATGCCTGTAATCTCTATAGTGTGAATACTTTATTGTAGGTACGTTTAACTTGTTCCGAATATATACATTATTTGAAAATAAGTAAAGTGTGCGCTATTTATTCATCGTTGAATTTATCGCTAACAAGTCACAGACACCTACTGTGATAAATTCCTAAGCCCAACAACAACATAGTATATATATTTATACTATTAAGAAATATAAGTAAAAGCCTTTTTATTTCGACAATAGGCGAGAAAATAGATTATATTTTAAATTCTGACATAGGTAATAATTAATTCATGCAAGTTACATTAGTAATCTTAGGCCTTTTCGATCTGCGGCCCGGCACGCTAACCGCTCGGCAACGCCTGATCCACAGATTTGTTTTTTCTTAATGAATATAATTTCACTACGTAAGTGATCTGGAAACACATATCATATTGAAATCTACTGGTTCTACCTAACTACAGCTCGTATAACCAAGTAATAATCAATTCGTGCAAGTTATACACGGGTATTTGTTGTGACTCTACAACCGCTAGGACAAATTCTAGGTCTCTTCACTAATAATTGAAAATGGACAAATGAGACGAAACATCGAGAGACACGTTTTCTCTTATTGGATGAAAGTAAACTTCCGTCATTTTATAAGCGCCACCTTATCTTTATGTAAGCCTTTCTTTGGTGTTCGTACTTTTAATGTGATTTGGTTTGGTTTGAATTTCGCGCAAAGCCTCTCTGTGCTAGCTGTCCCTAATTTAACAGTGATAGAATAGGGGAAAGACAGCTAGTCAACACCAGCCAATGCCAGCTCTTGGGCTACCCATTTATCAACGAATAGTGGGATTGACCATGACATTATAACGTCTCCACGGCTGAAAGAGCCAGCGTGTTCATTGACGGGAATTCGAACCCGCAGGTTTCGATTCGAGTGCACTAACCACCAGGCCATACCTGGCGCTTCAATGTGAACGACGCCTTATATGACACGTGGGCTAAACGAGACATTCAAGTTCAGGCATGTCCATTCCTTATATAGAACCACTGACCAGAAGAATAAAAACAGTCAACAGTACCTGGCGCTTATTATGCGGTCATTAGCCGCGGATGAACGATTCATAGAACGGCTCCGAGTTTTTTTCAAGTACAAACTTTTAGCTCATAGCTCGATCATCACTTGACCGACTTGGGATCTAATTAAAGTTTTGGATTCAGGAGGTCAAACCCTTTTGATTGGTGTATTTGATCACGCCCTAGGTCTCATAGATTAATGTATCTCATCCTGCCTAAAATAATTTCAACTTGAGGGTAAGCTGGTAGAGATTCTGATGAGTAATAAAATCTGATTGGGTATACGCGAGCCCCACGCTTGGTATTGCTTGGCGCACAAAACCAAAGCTAATAAAAAGGGAAAGAAAGGTCTTATACATTAGTTTACTCTAATCCTCCCTAAGAGGATTTCAAATGCCGCGGCTATTGAGGATTCCCTCTCGTTTTTAATCAAATAGGAGTTCTGTAATGCCCCCACAGCTTTTGAGAATTCGAAGGTTATTCTGCAGTATCTCACGAGTCGAATCTTGGGCCTTTTCGATCTGCGGCCCGGCACGCTAACCGCTTGGCCACGCCTGAATAAAATTTTACTTCACGTGTGATCTGGAAACACGCATCATATTGAAATCTATTGGTTTTGTCTAAGTTCTATCGGCTTTGTGTGTATTTAGCGTGATTTGAAAATATATTATATTAATAAACGTCCGTTGGTTTATGACCTTCGAGTTTAATTTTCTGTTATGTTATCGTAGGTTTAAGTAGAGACGAATTCCAATTTTCCAGCAATGGCGACGGACCTGCACGTTACAACATCATACACTTTAAACAGATGGAGCCAGGAAGTTATCAGTGGGTCCGAGTGGGCGAATACAGAAATGGTCAGTTGACCCTGAATCTCTCGAAAGTCCAGTTCCACCTGTACGAGCCAGAGATGCCGCCCTCTGTCTGCAGTTATCCGTGTTTAAAAGGTCAGGCTAAGAAGTTGGTAGAAGGGGAAAATTGTTGTTGGCATTGTTTTAATTGCACCAAATACCAAGTTCTCCTCTCCGAGACTCAGTGTGTAGAGTGTCCTCTGGGGTTCCTCCCAGACACTGACCACAAAAGTTGCATTGCTATTCCAGAGCTGTATATGAGTCCAGATAGTTCCTGGGCCATAGGAGCGCTCGCCTTCTCTACCACTGGGATCTCTGTTACAGTGTTCGTGATCGTCGTGTTCATTCGGTATAATGACACTCCAGTGGTCAGGGCGTCCGGTCGGGAACTCAGTTACGTTCTCTTGGCCGGTATATTAATGTGCTACGGGATGACGTACGTGCTGGTCCAGCGCCCAACAAACTTTATCTGTGGTGCGCAGAAAGCCGGTATCGGTTTGTGTTTCTCCGTTGTTTACAGCGCACTTCTGACCAAAACCAACAGAATCGCTCGGATCTTCAATGCCGGTAAACGGAGTGCAAGAAGGCCAAGCTTCATTAGTCCCAAATCTCAACTGGTCATCTGCGGAGCGCTGGTCAGTATCCAGATATCAATTACTGTCGTATGGCTAGCTTTCACGCCCCCAAAGGCGATTCATCATTTCCCGACTCGAGAAGATAACCACGTCGTGTGTGCAGCTTCTATTAACGCCAGCTACATGGTAGCCTTCGCATACCCAATAACTCTAACCCTCATCTGTACCGTGTACGCTATTCTTACAAGAAAGATACCCGAAGCATTCAACGAGTCCAAATATATAGGTTTTACCATGTACACCACTTGTATTATATGGCTTGCTTTTGTACCCATCTACTTCTCCACAGCTGAGCACGTGGCTCTTAACGTTACCTCCATGTCGTTAGCTATTAGTCTCAGTTCAACGGTAACTCTAGTTTGCCTGTTTACTCCTAAACTTTACATTCTGCTATTACATCCAGAGAAAAACATCCGCCAGTCGATGATGCCTCAGAACAAATATGGAACTTTAAAAAATACTACGTTAACCACCACGTCGTCGGCCCGGGTGGAATCGGGCACGCAATCTGAAGGTAAGCGACCCCTGGATATATTTTAGTTTGGGACTTTTACTTATTTTATCTTCATGGAATCTTTTCGTGTTTATTACAGATAAGAAAATTAAAACAGATAAAAATTAAAAGTATGTCATTCATTTCCAAGAGTCTCCCAGTGGGTCAGCGGTAAATTTAGGGATGTATAACTTTAAAATCCGGGGTTCGATTCTTTGCGGTGGACACAGTGTAGATAGCCCAATGTGTAGCTTTGCATTACATTTGTTTGTTTGATAGAAGTTAAGCACAAAGCTACACAACGGGCTATCTGTGCTCTGCCCACCACGGGTATCGAAACCCGGCTCCAGACATACGAGCAAAAAAAAACTCGAAATAAAACTATTTTCTTTGCTTGGTACAATTGGAGCTATTATAGTATTATCATATAAATTGTTTGAATCTAAAGTGATTTACATATAAATATTTTTTTTAATATATAGAACCTTTAATAATTTCAAACACATCATATACAGGCCGATATTATCTTATTTATTTTCAGATAATTTCGTAGTGACGTCAATAGTTCAAAAATCGAAGTAATTGAGCAGAACAGTCGATTAAAGTCAGTTTCACGCCCGCATTGTTTAAATCACAATACTGAGGCGGCAGAAATGATGACGTCTCAGTGACGTCATATTGATTAGAAACTAGGAAAGAATAAAACGTCGCATATTAAATATAATATTCTAAATGATAAATACTGAATACAATTAATCAATTATTTTACCTATGTTGTAACATTGAGAAAAGAGTAGCGATCGGGCCAAACAAAGATTATCTTTAAATCGCCTCTTCTTAAGTCTCGTGCAAAATCTCTAACTCGGTATAATTACACTAATGCAATGTACACTAGGTATGGCAAGAAAAGTACCATTAAGGTAATGAAACATTGTGCTGGCGGAGTTTTCACCTCTATCGCATCCCATGCGTGCTTTAGGAGAAGTTTTCATTAGTCAATGGCAACACCTCCTGCAGGGATACATATATATATATATCCCCATTTTCACTAACAACTAATACATTCGTCACTATAGATAGATACACTTCTATTCCGAGTTCTTGAATATTTGTTTTCAGATTTTGTTGGTGGTAAAAATTCGAAATTTAACTGAAAACTAAATCGTTCGATCAAATGAAAAGATATACTGATAAGCTGACTTTTTTCTCTCTCTCTCTCTCTCTCTTCCTTTCTTACAGACTACGAAATGAGCGGGAAGATCCGTTCTTTTTGTTCCATCAGCAGTTCGGTATCCCGGATCAGTTGTGCTACACAGACTCCGAACGGACCACCAGCCGAACTTAGCTACGCAGATAAGGACGTTTTTCTGTGAGGATCAGTTTCTAGATCGCCCCGCACTCCGACAAAACGGATCAAACGAGTTGTCTACAGTGGGGATCTACGCACGTGAATAGCAGCGAAAGTGAAAGTAACGGAAACGATATACATATCGTATTCATAGATGCGATATTTTCCGCGCGTTTGTCATTTACCTGATTATTGTTAGAGTATAGATATTAGGGATTTTTTTTCTCGAACATTCTTCAGCGTTACCATGTTCACTTCTTCCACTTGTACTCCGAAATGTAAATAACTCTCTAACATTAGTTATCACATGACGATTGTTTAACATTATCGAAACATTAGGTTGTTGTGGTACCGCAATAAAAAAAAAAGTGTAATAACGACCACAGCAGCCACCTGGATGTTATCATTTTCTGTTGGTAACTATTGAGAGTACTTAATGATATTATTGTTAACATTTCAAAATATATATTAAATAAGCGTTGATTTTCCTGCCGCTTGAATATAGTAAACCCCTGAAATTTATCGTATGGAACGAACTGAAACACCTTCAAAGTACCACGTGTTTATTTCCTCGTGAATAATGTGATATTTCAAACGGATGTGGTAAGACAAATGGACCGTTAATAATGGGGCTCCGGTCGTAAAGTGATTACCCATTCGTATATATATATATATCCTTGTTATTTCAAGTAAAGAGCGTAACGCCCTTCCCGAGATATCACAGGATCCTATAAAAGTTGCAGCTAGTACAATATCGTGTAGTTTTTCTGAATATTAAAACTATGTTCGAAGTATCGAATGTTACCATATAGTTTTGGTTTTAGTTCTCGGTTAACAAATGATGTGTTACTGCTTCAGGGCTGAAAGACACTAAACCTTCCTCTCTTGTAGTACTATGTGACAATATGCTAATATTTTAACACTATATGAGACTGAATGTGCCCTTCTCTGGAAACTTCATGACGCCAGTAGTGCTGAATGATACTAGATGTGCCATTTCTTGAGGTGACGAGTAGTACCAAATATACCAATCATTTAGCACTCGACAACTTTGGATGTGACACTTCGTGACGCCAGTAGTGCTGAATGATACTAGATGTGCCATTTCTTGAGGTGATGAGTAGTACCAAATATACCAATCATTTAGCACTCGACAACTTTGGATGTGACACTTCATGACGCCAGTAGTGCTGAATGATATTAGATGAGTCATTTCTTGAGGTGATGAGTAGTACCAAATGTACCAATCATTTAGCACTCGACAACTTTGGATGTGACACTACATGATACTAGATGTGCTAAATGATACTAGATGTGGCATTTTGTGAGGTGATGAGTACTACCAAATATACCAATCACTTAGCATTCGACAACTTTGGATGTGAGACTACATGGCACTAGATGTGGCATTTTTGGAGGTGATGAGTACTACCAAATATACCAATCACTTAGCATTCGACAACTTTGGATGTGAGACTACATGGCACTAGATGTGCTTCACTGTTGTTACACTGAATGACATAAATGTGACACTCGTTGAACGACACTAAATGTGACATTATTTTAGTGTTGAATAACATTGGATAATCCACTCTTTTAATTCGGGACAGTAACGAGTGTTTTATAATAGCGGATGTATGTATCACTGTAGCTCTGAATCTAATGAAATAATTGCTTTGGTAATGAACGATAG